TCTATGAATGGTTTGTGTGGTCTGTGTTGCTGGTGTTTGATTGTACATGTAGGTCTATGAATGGTTTGTGTGGTCTGTGTTACTGGTCTATGATTGTACATGTAGGTCTATGAATGGTTTGTGTGGTCTGTGTTACTGGTGTTTGATTGTACATGTAGGTCTATGAATGGTTTGTGTGGTCTGTGTTACTGGTGTTTGATTGTATATGTAGGTCTATGAATGGTTTGTGTGGTCTATTACTGGTGTTTGATTGTACATGTAGGTCTATGAATGGTTTGTCTGGTCTGTGTTACTGGTCTATGATTGTACATGTAGGTCTATGAATGGTTTGTGTGGTCTGTGTTACTGGTCTATGATTGTATATGTAGGTCTATGAATGGTTTGTGTGGTCTGTGTTGCTGGTGTTTGATTGTACATGTAGGTCTATGAATGGTTTGTGTGGTCTGTGTTACTGGTCTATGATTGTACATGTAGGTCTATGAATGGTTTGTGTGGTCTGTGTTACTGGTCTATGATTGTACATGTAGGTCTATGAATGGTTTGTGTGGTCTGTGTTACAGGTGTTTGATTGTACATGTAGTTCTATGAATGGTTTGTGTGGTCTGTGTTGCAGGTCTATGATTGTACCTGTAGGTCTATGAATGGTTTGTATGGTCTGTGTTGCTGGTCTATGATTGTACATATAGGTCTATGAATGGTTTGTGTGGTCTGTGTTACTGGTGTTTGATTATACATGTAGGTCTATGAATGGTTTGTGTGGTCTGTGTTACTGGTGTTTGATTGTACATGTAGGTCTATGAATGGTTTGTGTGGTCTGTGTTACTGGTGTTTGATTGTACATGTAGGTCTATGAATGGTTTGTGTGGTCTGTGTTGCTGGTCTGTGATTGTACATGTAGGTCTATGAATGGTTTGTGTGGTCTGTGTTACTGGTCTATGATTGTACATGTAGGTCTATGAATGGTTTGTGTGGTCTGTGTTACTGGTCTATGATTGTACATGTAGGTCTATGAATGGTTTGTGTGGTCTGTGTTACTGGTCTATGATTGTACATGTAGGTCTATGAATGGTTTGTGTGGTCTGTGTTACTGGTCTATAATTGTACATGTAGGTCTATGAATGGTTTGTGTGGTCTGTGTTTCTGGTCTTTGATTGTACATGTAGGTCTATGAATGGTTTGTGTGGTCTGTGTTGCTGGTGTTTGATTGTACATGTAGGTCTATGAATGGTTTGTGTGGTCTGTGTTGCTGCTCTATGATTGTACATGTAGGTCTATGAATGGTTTGTGTGGTCTGTGTTACTGGTGTTTGATTGTACATGTAGGTCTATGAATGGTTTGTGTGGTCTGTGTTACTGGTCTATGATTGTACATGTAGGTCTATGAATGGTTTGTGTGGTCTGTGTTACTGGTCTATGATTGTATATGTAGGTCTATGAATGGTTTGTGTGGTCTGTGTTGCTGGTCTATGATTGTACATGTAGGTCTATGAATGGTTTGTGTGGTCTGTGTTACTGGTGTTTGATTGTACATGTAGGTCTATGAATGGTTTGTGTGGTCTGTGTTGCTGGTGTTTGATTGTACATGTAGGTCTATGAATGGTTTGTGTGGTCTGTGTTACTGGTCTATGATTGTACATGTAGGTCTATGAATGGTTTGTGTGGTCTGTGTTACTGGTCTATGATTGTATATGTAGGTCTATGAATGGTTTGTGTGGTCTGTGTTACTGGTCTATGATTGTACATGTAGGTCTATGAATGGTTTGTGTGGTCTGTGTTGCTGGTCTATGATTGTACATGTAGGTGTATGAATGGTTTGTGTGGTCTGTGTTGCTGGTCTATGATTGTACATGTAGGTCTATGAATGGTTTGTGTGGTCTGTGTTGCTGGTCTATGATTGTACATGTAGGTCTATGAATGGTTTGTGTGGTCTGTGTTGCTGGTCTATGATTGTACATGTAGGTCTATGAATGGTTTGTGTGGTCTGTGTTACTGGTGTTTGATTGTACATGTAGGTCTATGAATGGTTTGTGTGGTCTGTGTTACTGGTGTTTGATTGTATATGTAGGTCTATGAATGGTTTGTGTGGTCTGTATTACTGGTGTTTGATTGTACATGTAGGTCTATGAATGGTTTGTGTGGTCTGTGTTACTGGTCTATGATTGTACATGTAGGTCTATGAATGGTTTGTGTGGTCTGTGTTGCTGGTGTTTAATTGTACATGTAGGTCTATGAATGGTTTGTGTGGTCTGTGTTACTGGTCTATGATTGTACATGTCGGTCTATGAATGGTTTGTGTGGTCTGTGTTACTGGTCTATGATTGTACATGTAGGTCTATGAATGGTTTGTGTGGTCTGTGTTGCTGGTCTATGATTGTACATGTAGTTCTATGAATGGTTTGTGTGGTCTGTTTTGCTGGTGTTTGATTGTACATGTAGGTCTATGAATGGTTTGTGTGGTCTGTGTTACTGGTCTATGATTGTACATGTAGGTCTATGAATGGTTTGTGTGGTCTGTGTTACTGGTCTATGATTGTACATGTAGGTCTATGAATGGTTTGTGTGGTCTGTGTTACTGGTCTATGATTGTACATGTAGGTCTATGAATGGTTTGTGTGGTCTGTGTTACTGGTGTTTGATTGTACATGTAGGTCTATGAATGGTTTGTGTGGTCTGTGTTACTGGTCTATGATTGTACATGTAGGTCTATGAATGGTTTGTGTGGTCTGTGTTACTGGTCTATGATTGTATATGTAGGTCTATGAATGGTTTGTGTGGTCTGTGTTGCTGGTCTATGATTGTACATGTAGGTCTATGAATGGTTTGTGTGGTCTGTGTTACTGGTGTTTGATTGTACATGTAGGTCTATGAATGGTTTGTGTGGTCTGTGTTGCTGGTGTTTGATTGTACATGTAGGTCTATGAATGGTTTGTGTGGTCTGTGTTACTGGTCTATGATTGTACATGTAGGTCTATGAATGGTTTGTGTGGTCTGTGTTACTGGTCTATGATTGTATATGTAGGTCTATGAATGGTTTGTGTGGTCTGTGTTACTGGTCTATGATTGTACATGTAGGTCTATGAATGGTTTGTGTGGTCTGTGTTGCTGGTCTATGATTGTACATGTAGGTGTATGAATGGTTTGTGTGGTCTGTGTTGCTGGTCTATGATTGTACATGTAGGTCTATGAATGGTTTGTGTGGTCTGTGTTGCTGGTCTATGATTGTACATGTAGGTCTATGAATGGTTTGTGTGGTCTGTGTTGCTGGTCTATGATTGTACATGTAGGTCTATGAATGGTTTGTGTGGTCTTTATTACTGGTGTTTGATTGTACATGTAGGTGTATGAATGGTTTGTGTGGTCTGTGTTGCTGGTGTTTGATTGTATATGTAGGTCTATGAATGGTTTGTGTTGTCTGTATTACTGGTGTTTGATTGTACATGTAGGTCTATGAATGGTTTGTGTGGTCTGTGTTACTGGTCTATGATTGTACATGTAGGTCTATGAATGGTTTGTGTGGTCTGTGTTGCTGGTGTTTAATTGTACATGTAGGTCTATGAATGGTTTGTGTGGTCTGTGTTACTGGTCTATGATTGTACATGTCGGTCTATGAATGGTTTGTGTGGTCTGTGTTACTGGTCTATGATTGTACATGTAGGTCTATGAATGGTTTGTGTGGTCTGTGTTGCTGGTCTATGATTGTACATGTAGGTCTATGAATGGTTTGTGTGGTCTGTGTTACTGGTGTTTGATTGTACATGTAGGTCTATGAATGGTTTGTGTGGTCTGTGTTACTGGTCTATGATTGTACATGTAGTTCTATGAATGGTTTGTGTGGTCTGTGTTACTGGTCTTTGATTGTATATGTAGGTCTATGAATGGTTTGTGTGGTCTGTGTTGCTGGTCTGTGATTGTACATGTAGGTCTATGAATGGTTTGTGTGGTCTGTGTTGCTGGTGTTTGATTGTACATGTAGGTCTATGAATGGTTGGTGTTGTCTGTTGTACTGTCAAATAGTTTTGGTAAATACTGGCATACTTTTTATGTATTATTCATTTATCCAAAATTTTCTCTACCAAAGGATAGATTGATGCAAACTGCGTATTACAGTCATTTAAACACTCACATATACATTTAGTCTGAAATACCATATTTATTCTAGAATAATAAATTAAGTAAATTTAAAGGGCCATATAACTATTGTTGAAATTGGAATGAAATGAAAATACACTATATTGAGTGTTGATTGCAAGAAAACATTTATTTACATGTACTTCATCTGCTGCATACAACATAAAATGTCCCAGAAACAATGAAATATGTTCTTACAATAAATCTCCCAGGAAAAAAAAAACCTGAAAAGGAGATCTCCTTAGTTTTATAAAAATGTTAACAGTAAGCATGGTAGGTGTATAATTTTATACTTTTTTCAGTAAATATGTTGCATGGTTAAACATAATTCTACATATTTATTTCTTTCATTTTCAAGTATATTTAGTACTGAAAACAAAATATCGGGTTAATCAAACTACATTTTTTTGTTAAAAAGCAACACTTATTTACCTTATTCCAAGAAATCTGTTCACGACTTTAAAACATTGTCTTGCAGACAGAAATAGATAATATTGCTTTAATTGTCTACTGTACATTTGCCTGCAATGAATTTAGGTTAATTTAGACTATGCAGACTTGTCATAGTTGTGGAGCCCTTGCTCTTTCAATGCTTGGAATATATTTCAAGCTAGGTCTGTCATGTCTGTTTCAAATGTAGACAACTAAATGCCTTTGCTGGGTTTATTATGATGTTGTTTGATGTTGCAAGAACAAATATCCTCTATCCCTTCTATCAACTTCTATAGAATTGAGTTTGTTAACTCATGTTGGCTGTGAGTATACATCTCTCATAAAATATTGTTTTTGGACTTTATTTGGTTGGTGATCTGCACATTTGTTTATATATTTAAAATGAAACAATTTAATTCATGAGAAATTGTTATTTTTCAGGTGAAATAATCATGCACTCAGATTATAACAGTTGTAGTTGATCTTATTACAATTAATAATGGATGCATTTAAGTGTTCAGACTGTCACATGACATTTGGAACTGTTGGCCTTTTACAAAAACACAAGAGAAAGTTTTGTGTTGGAGGAAGTTTAGGTGATCCAGATAATTTATTGTTAAGAAAAGGACTATATTCAGCAGACACTCCAAGACAGAGACCGTTGTCCCCAGACGATAGGGTAATGTACTTTTATTTGTTTTGTTTTCTTTACCACCGTCACACAGAGTGGGGTTAAATTTAATTACCGATTTCTATATGTTTGCTTTTCGATAATCCTTTTTTCTTTAGATGGATTGCTTTCATGATCTTTGGCTGATCTAAGTTAATTCAACACACTTTAATAGTATTTATTTTGTCTATCAATAACTCTTTGCAAGATAAAGACAATGTGCGATTATAATTCTAACAATGTAATTTGCCTTTTGGTGACCCTGATGGAATCTATTCACAAAATATATTTCATATTAAAGAATTAACTCCGTTGGTGGAAACATGACATAGAGATACGACATTAAGATTCAGTCATATATATATGTTAAAGTTTTTCTGACATAAATAACTTTTGTCAAAACTTAATAGAATTTCCTATAAATTTTGACAGAAGATCCTTTTTTATGATCAAAAGGTCCAGAACAAACTTTGAACATATTTTTATTTTTCCATATTTTACCGATAAAAGGACAATTTTTTTGGCAGTTGACATGAAGATACAGTCTGGTGTTTTTGTTTTTTATGCCCCTGCAATAGGTGACGGGGGTATTAAATGTTACCCTTGACTGTCCATCCTATTTTTGTTGCAAAGCTTGAGCGGGGGCAGTCGTGTCTCAGACACATTCTTCTTTTGTTTTACTTAAATAACTTTGAAAAAACCTTCATTGAATTTATGACTAAGGACTAAGACATAACAACTAAAGCAAAATTTAGAAAATACATGTTTTTCATTTTTCAGTATTTTACTGAATGATGGACTTAGTTTTTGCAATAAATGTTTACTTACAGTCTGGGATTAAATTTTGTTGACATTAATAATTTTGTTAAACCTCCATGGAATGTTCTGAAACTTAAACAGAAGTGTCTTCATAATCAAGAATTAGCATCTGAAGAAAATAGTTGGATTTAAAAAAAAAATCCATTTCTTACTGATAAATGTTCTTAACATTTGGGATATTGTGATTGTTGTGTCTGTTTTTTTGTTTATTTAATTATATATAAGTCATCTACTTTTTGTATCAATAACTCCATAAACTCCTTAAACATAGATTTAAAAGATATTTCATGGAATCTACAGTACATTTCCTAATCTGATTATGTTCTAATGAATTTTGGGTTTTCCAATATATAGCAAACATGAAATATTGTAATTACAACTTTTACTCATCATTATACAAAAGACAACATTTAACAGCTCATTGAGCTCACTATAATGCCTTTCTTCCACACAAGATAAAAGGATGAGGATTTTTTTTTGTGATTTTCCTTAATTAAACCAATTTTGACTGATGATTCATCTAAAAAACTAACAATGATTGACGCTAGCATATTTTTTTCTGCTCTGTTCTGTAAAGTGTATATATATAACAGGGAGTAGAAATGAATTATCAAAATTGATAGATCTTTCAGGAAGTCAGAGTTGGACTCAATCTGATTGAAACACAGATCCTTTGTTTACCTTTCCCTGACAACACTTCATTTTATGTTGTGTTTTAAAGACCTCTCAAGATCCTTTGGCTTTGTCCTAATGATACCTACCTTCAAAAATTTTGAGGCAGAAATTTATTGGCTGATGTTATAATTACCAGAACAGAAAGTAGAAGAGAATGTTGTCTGATCCTTGTAACTTAATTGTAAGCAATGTGTGGACGCAGGATCTGTATATATTTCAGATTGGGTTTGACTGTAAATCATATTTTGAAATTATTTCTTTCCCTAATAACCAGTAAAGTTTTGCTGCAATGAAGACAATAGTGAGAAGCAAATATAGATAAAATAGAAACGAATTCAGGCAGGTGCACACCTGGTGTTTGCCCTCTTAAAAGGAAAAAAAAAAATTTTTTGCATAAATTTGTCAAAAAGTTTTCTTCCTCCCTCCACTCCTCAAATCTGTTACAGTCATGCCCACACTTACTCAAAAAGTAGATCTGCACCTATAAAAATGTTCTTATCAATCCTTGTCACTAGTTTTCCCATTGCTACATGTGAATTGATCAACTACAGAGCCCAAAGTTTATATTTTGTGTACATACTGTACTTACAGCCTTTAGAGGGTAGTGAGATTGTCAGCAAGAAGGTGAGTGTCTGTGTGTTGGTATATGGTTCTCTGCATGGTAGTTGATACATGTACATAATGTATTCACAAAGCTTTATTTACCAGAAATGGATTTTATTTAACATCAGAATTGAGTGTAGCAAGTTTTTCTTCCTTAATTATTTGAATCATGTTGAATTGTAACCTTAATTACAGTTTTTGTTTTGCATGTACAATTTTGTATTAAAAAGAACAAAACGTTTATATTTTGAAAGTTTTTGGTTTTCTTGTTGAAAGGTAGACTATTGTGTGTAAAAATCTGTTTCTGCGGTGCACTTATGTGTTATTTCTGCTATATGTACAATGTAAATAACAACAGTGCTGTGTCTTGTCAACTTTTATAGAATGCTATGATTTGTAGGAGTTTTATACAACTCATTAGTTTACTTAGTATTATGGAATGGAGGCAATCTGGTAGGATAATGCAAATATATATTTTACTTTGTGATGAAAAAGCTATTCAAATATTTTTTTAAACATGATTTATGAATATGAAAATAAGATTATATTTATGAAAACTGTTTCAATTTACCTTAAAAGAAATTTGGATCAACTTTATCATAAATCATAATTTTGAATTTCTGTATCCCAGCCTTTTTGTTCTCATTACAAATATATAAGGTATTGAGGAAAGTATATTGTAACAATAATTATTTTGATTTATATATATTTTATATAAGACTGCATGGTTGTATTGTAAATGTTATAGCTAGAAAGAATATACAAAGCTTATGGAATAACAGCACTTTTGCATGCATTAGGATTTTTTTAATCAATGATCTGGTTTTCTTGAAGATTAAAGTAATAAAAAATAATTTTTGAATATATTTATTATTAAATTCATTTAGGAATAACGCAAAGGAAATAAATTTTCCCATGTTTAATTTTAAATTTGTTATCATATACATATATATATATATATAGATTGATAATTGGTTTCAAATGAGTTAATGTAAAAATAGCCATCAACAAGAACATTTTCATGTAAATTAAAAATTTTATTCATGTGTATTCCAAACATTGTCAACAAATTATTTAGTAAGCTTTGTATACACTTTAACAAGGTAAATCAACTTAGAGCTTTTAAAGACAAGAGGGAAAAGTTACGGGATATAAGAAACTTGGAAGAACGTCTACTCCTGGACAATTTAGAAGATACAGAGAGAAAGCTTGGAGATAGTCCCAGGAGTCCAAGGAGAACAAGGAGTCGTCTCCCCTTGTCAAGACATCCTGAAGTCAGAGATCTTCAGATAGAGGTGAGTTTTTCAGAAAATCATCACTTGGCGTCCGTCGTCGTCGTTAACTTTTTTCATTTTGAACTTCTTCTAGAGAACCACTGAATGGAATGAAACCAAACATGGCATGAATGTTCCTTATGAGGTGCTGACCAAGTGTTGTTTCTTTGTAGCCGATCCATCATTCAAGATGGCTGCCAGCGGGGGACTTAGTTTAACATGGGACCCTATGGGAAATACATACAAATGTCTTCTTTTAGAGAACTACTGAATGGAATGAAACCAAACATGGCATGAATGTTCCTTATGAGGTGCTGACCAAGTGTTGTTCCTTTGCAGTCGGTCCATCATCCAAGATGGCCTCCAGCGGGGGACTTAGTTTAACATAGGACCCTAAGGGAAATACATACAAATGTCTTCTTCTAGAGAACCACTGAATGGAATGAAACCAAACATGGCATGAATGTTCCTTATGACGTGCTGACCAAGTGTTGTTACTTTGCAGTTGGTCCATCATCCAAGATGGCCGCCAGCAGGGGACTTAGTTTAACATAGGACCCTATTGGAAATACATACAAATGTCTTCTTTTAGAGAACCACTGAATGGAATGAAACCAAACATGGCATGAATGTTCCTTATGAGGTGATGACCAAGTGTTGTTTCTTTGCAGCCGATCCATTATCCAAGATGGCTGCCAGCGGGGGACTTAGTTTAACATAGGACCCTATGGGAAATACATACAAATGTCTTCTTTTAGAGAACCACTGAATGGAATGAAACCAAACATGGCATGAATGTTCCTTATGAGGTGCTGACCAAATGTTGTTACTTTGCAGTTGGTCCATCATCCAAGATGGCCGCCAGCGGGGGACTTAGTTTAACATAGGACCCTATGGGAAATACATACAAATGTCTTCTTTTAGAGAACCACTGAATGGAATGAAAGGAAACATGGCATGAATGTTCCTTATGAGGTGTTGACCAAGTGTTGTTACTTTGCAGTCAATCCATCATCCAAGATGGAGGCCAGCGGGGGACTTAGTTTAACAAGGGACCCTATGGGAAATACATACAAATGTCTTCCTTCAGAGAACCACTGAATGGAATTGAACCAAACATGGCATGAATGTTCCTTATGAGGATTTAACCAAGTGTTGTTTCTTTGCAGCTGATCCATCATCCAAGATGGCCGCCAGCGGGGGACTTAGTTTAACATAGGACCCTATGGGAAATACATACAAATGTCTTCTTTTAGAGAACCACTGAATGGAATGAAACCAAACATGGCATGAATGTTCCTTATGAGGTTCTGACCAAGTGTTGTTACTTTGCAGTAGGTCCATCGTCCAAGATGGCTGACAATGGGGGACTTAGTTTAACATAGGACCCTATGGGAAATACATACAAATGTCTTCTTTTAGAAAACCACTGAATGGAATGGCACAAACATGGCATGAATGTTCCTTATGAGGTGCTGACCAAGTGTTGCCACTTTGTTTGCTGATTTACTGTTCAAGATGGCCACCAGGATATTTTATTAAATAACGGGACCAATATTAAACCAAATTTGGCTTTAATCATTATTTGGGTATCTGTTATGATTTTTATCTATCTTTACATGATTTCTAAGACCAAAGTAGAGTCAGGCGAGCGACACAGGCTCTTGAGAACCTCTAGTTATTTTTGTTTCCTATATTTAGTAAATTTTTCCTACTTTTCACTTATAACAAGTGTTTGGGGACATAGAATTACTATTCAGTTATTTATTTTTGGTTCAAGGATTTTTAACATAATACACATAATACATTATTTTTAAAAAAAATGTTCATTATATAATCTTGTTTTACTTTGATATATTTAGTTCATGACAAAAGCATTGATTTTGTATTGACCCTCAATTGTTTTTGGTCCATAGAAGATTTGAAAAAAGTGATGCTATTTCCATTCCAAAAATGCCTGCAAATTTATAAGAAAGTTGCCAAATTTCTTGTAAATGTCAATGAGACATCAATCATATGACAAAAAAATAAAAGACACCTAGAGGTTAACACAAAAGACACCTAGAGGTTAACACAAAAGACAAATGTCCATACAATTTGTCAAGCTTCAAAATATCTAAAGCTTAAAAATGTTATAGATCAATTTATCTAACAAAGAGCCTTCAGACATTCTAGAATGTTTGTTTCTATATTGATGATATGCACCTCACATTACAAACACATTTTCAAGAATTCTATTTCGAGACAGTTCAACTTGTCAAGATTCAGCCGTATTCGTTAAAGAAGTGCTAACTTATTTTCTATCATCATTCTATTTCAGTATGAAAGACTTAAAGATGAGGAAAACAGAACAGTAGGCTATGGAGGTCCTCTCCCACCTCCAGTACGGGAGATAGAAAACATATCTCCTATGTCAGATACTAGCATGAGTATACATTTACCTGGAGAGGTGAGTAATCTACCTCCAGGAATGATCTCTTAAGTCAGAATCTAGCATGTGTAAACCTTTACCCTGGGAGTTGAACTCTACCTCTAGAAAGGATCTCTTATGTCTGCAGATACAGTATACATTTACCTGGACAGATGAGATATATACCCTCCTTTTTCTGATACTAGCATGAATCTACATTTACCCAGAGAGATGAGTTATGTGCCTGATTCCATTTTCTGATGCTATGAAAATAAAAATATGTGGTATAATTGGCAATGAGACAACTCCGTCAGAGACCAAAATAATGGAAGATAAGTTATAGGCCTCCTTTTTTTGATACTAGCATGAGTATACATTAACCTGGAGAGTTGAGTTATCTGTCTCCAGGAAGGATCTCTTATGTCAGATACTTTCATGAGTATACATTAACCTGAAGAGTTGAGTTATCTGTCTCCAGGAAGGATCTGTTATGTCAGATACTTTCATGAGTATACATTAACCTGGAGAAGTGAGTTATCTGTCCCCAGGAAGGATCTCTTATGTCAGATACTTTCATGAGTATACATTAACCTGGAGAGTTGAGTTATCTGTCTCCAGGAAGGATCTCTTATGTCAGATACTTTCATGAGTATACATTAACCTGGAGAGTTGAGTTATCTGTCTCCAGGAAGGATCTCTTATGTCAGATACTTTCATGAGTATACATTAACCTGGAGAGTTGAGTTATCTGTCTCCAGGAAGGATCTCTTATGTCAGATACTTTCATGAGTATGCATTAACCTGGAGAGTTGAGTCATCTGTCTCCAGGAAGGATCTCTTATGTCAGATACTTTCATGAGTATACATTAACCTGGAGAGTTGAGTTATCTGTCTCCAGGAAGGATATCTTATGTCAGATACTTCATGAGTATACATTAACCTGGAGAGTTGAGTTATCTGTCTCCAGGAAGGATCTCTTATGTCAGATACTTTCATGAGTATACATTAACCTGGAGAGTTGAGTTATCTGTCTCCAGGAAGGATCTCTTATTGCAGATACTTTCATGAGTATACATTAACCTGGAGAGTTGAGTTATCTGTCTCCAGGAAGGATCTCTTATGTCAGATACTTTCATGAGTATACATTAACCTGGAGAGTTGAGTTATCTGTCTCCAGGAAGGATCTCTTATGTCAGATACTAGCATGAGTATACATTTACCTTGGGAGGTGAACTGTCTACCTCTAGAAAGGGTCCCCTATATCAGACACTAGCATGCATGTACATTTACCTGGAGATTTTAGCTATCTTCCTCCAGCAAGGGTATCCTATATCTGATACTAGCATGAATATACATTTACATGGATAGGTAAGTTTTCTACCTTTAACAAGGAATGTGTAAAATATATCTCCAATGTCTGATACTGGCATGAGTATGCAATTTCATGGATGGTTAGTAATCTACTTTTAAAATACCAGTATGTATCAGATATTTTCAGGTATAGTATTTGTCTTACCGTTCATTATTAAGTGCTTACTCAATCTTGGGTCCAAAATTGTAAGTTTTTTAATGATTATAAATGTTTCTGGCACTGTTATTAAGTGAGAAAAGTGTCAATTGTAAAGCCTGCACTACCTATCAGTCACACTACCTATAGACTTTAGGATTTAGGGATTAAGTTTAAAATCCTTTGAGTAATTGCAGACTTTTTTTGCAGTTTAAATCTAGTTCTGATTACTTAAAATATTGAAAATAAGAAATAATTTAAGTTCTTTTAAGAACCGTTAATTAATACTAGTGTTACTCATGATGTTTTTCACAGAGTAAGCAGTTTGGGAGATTAGGAACTCAAGATATAGGTACTCGAGCATTAGAGCTTAGAATCAAAGCGGTGGGTACTCACTGTGTCAAATTGTTTTTGTGCTTTGTTTCACAAAGTCATAGATTTGAGGACTTGGTGTGAAACAATTCATGGTATTATAATGTTTACAATGGTTCAGGGCATTTGAAATACACACATATATATATATATGAAATAACAGACATAGCACATTTTACACAGTGGTGTCAATTTATGATAATAAGATTAATTTGTTTTTTAATTAGTTTTTTACATGAAGTACTTATACTCTGTATTTTTGTATTTTTTATGTTAATATAGATGTATTGATCGTGTTGAGTTATGCACTGCAGAAACAGATTTCATTTTGTTATTATTTATATATACAAACTTACATAATAAATTGTTTTTAAATATTGTGTGCCTTAGGTTTTGAAAAATTTTCAGTAATCTGATTAACTTTATGTTATTAGGTTTGCCTACAATCAGTTTGGAGTACATATAGTACCTACTTGTTGAAAAAAAAACAAGATATTTCATTTAAGAATGCATTGCTTCTTTTTGTGGTTTTATTTGGGTAAAAGCATTGGCCAAAGCATATTTTGTTCTGCACTTCATGTGTTGATGTGTGTACCTGTCAACATTTTTACAACCCTATTAAACCACAACCAAAAAATAAACAATTCTTATAATTACATATGAATGCTAAAAACCCAGAAATTAAATATTCAGTAAAATTTTCTTCTGTTTTGTATTAAAAATTCCTAAACTACACATTATTGTAACCTTGTCATGGAGAGCACATGCAGTCATTGATGTTGCATTTTATTAAGAAATAAAACATTAGTTTGAAAAACCATCATATTGTTGTCTAAAGATCAAAATGAAGAAATCTTTTTGAATAGTTATGTTTTGTAGTGAATTTAATTTTTATGGCAGTTAATATTGTGAAAGCTTTGATTTCAAATTTGTTTTTACAGTCTGAATGACTTGTTGTTCTGTATCTTCCATGTATATTTCTGGATTACCTGTATTGATTATTTCTTCATTATAATTATTTCTAATTATTATTTATACATGAACCTGTACACGTAGCCCCTTTTATACAAAGTTAAAAGTTTCTACACTACCATAAAATTTGTTTTATAAAGTACCCAAAGACATATAAAAAGTGTTGAATATTTAAGGTGTACAGTACATGCTGTAAAGTTGACAGATAATTTATTATAAAGTTTTTACTATTGTCAAATTAAAGTCAGATATCTATCAAATATATTTGATTTTGCCATTTCTGATAATGTGTTTATTGAAATACCCTGTTCCTAAGATATTAATGAGAACTGTAAGAGATGATAGATTTCTTTATGTCAGACAGGGTATCATTTATTTATTTTGATCCTAAATTGTAATTTGTTGTATTCACTACTTCACGTAAATCAAGAAAGCTGAGTATAAGTAATCAAACGTTGGAAAACGTCTTACTCTATAGACAAATTTGGAGGTCAAAAACGATGTGATTTATCATAGATCAATAAAACAATTTATTGTGTTTGGTCATGGATCTTTGCTGAATAAAAATTAAAAAATATTTTATCATAGGTCTTTGTTGAAAAAAAAGTCCAAAATACTTTAGCATGGATCTTTGTTAAATTAAAAGTTCAAAATAATTGGTCATGGATCTTTGTTAAATTAAAAGTTCAAAATAATTGGCCATGGATTTTGTTAAATTAAAAGTTCAAAATATTTTGAAACTGCTTTCAGAATCCAAATTCTACAAACTAGATATTTTTTACAGTCTAGGTCTCTAGGAAATGGCTGAGATGTACAGTAAAATATATTAAAGGCTTGTAAATCAGTACAGAGCTTACTTGTTGACTATAAAATAAGTACTATAAATTATTAAAAGCTTTAACTGTTAGGATATACTTTCTTCTAAAAAAAAATCAAACAAATTTGATTGTTAAACAAAACTGACTTTGATTCCACATGTTACGAAATTTAACATTATATCCACAGAATATTTCTTTCTTTAATAAAGAAGAAGTGGATTATGTTTCTTGCTTGTCAAGATAATAAAAGCATATACAGATATGATTGTAATTCTGACATTCTTTTGTTACTTTATGTTTTCTTTTAAATTTTATTGTTTGTATAAAATTACGAATTTAATTGAAGTTTATTGTTTAACTTAAATTCTTAAACTGACTTTTAGATGATTATTTGATTTTTGTTTATGCAGAAATTCAGAAATTTTTGTGCATTTATTACTGCCATTGTTGAACATGGACAAAAATGTGAGATTAGATTTTATGATTTCAGGAAACAATGCACTCAAATAATACAATAAAAATATGAGTTTTTATTATTACAAATCCTTTCTAGTTGCAATATTCACAATAACAAGAACATTGCAAACATTTCTGTATCTACAGAAGATTTTTGTTGTAAATTAACAGATAGACATATTACCAGAGTGTCAAAGCCATACTATTCATTTCTTATTGAAGTGACAAAACATTAGAACAGCTGCACAAAAGATGTAGAAAGTTGGACCATATATCTACTCTAAGGGGAGAAAAAAAGTGACTGTATTGTATTGAACATGTTAAAAAACGTTTGATTTCAGAAATCCAGATTTTCTGAGTGTCTTTTCCGCAGAATATGTTACATTTTTTCATGAAATTTTCTACATTTTAACTCTTGATGCTGATTTTTTTACCTTTATTTGCATAGTTATGCACATAATATTGAAGACCAGTTTAGATATGGCAGTTTTGCTAACTTCTACATCTTTTGGTCTCTGGTGGAGAGTTGTCTCATTTGCAATCACACCAGATCTTCTTATTTTTACAATCCAGCTTAAAATCCAGATTTTTGTTGATTACCTTTTTGTCTGCTCTATGGTCGGGTTGTTGTCTCTTTGACACATTCCCCATTTCCATTCTCAATTTTATTAAGAACTGAAAGAAGTTTTTTTTCTTCAATAGCTTTGAATTTCATAGTTATATTTCAATTAAAAATCTCAGACATTTGTCTTTTATTTGCCAACTAGCAAAGACAACCGTACCTATAAAATGCTGTTGTGAGATCACTATTTGCATGGTAACCCTTTAAAATATGGAACCCAATTTGAGCCCCCCAAAAAATATATTTGTGAATAAGCTCATAAATTAAGCCTGTGTAAGGTAATGGTTTATTTGATATGAGAAAAAAATTAATGGTAGCATGTTACAGTTAAAGTTTATTTCAGGTGTATAAGAGGAATCCAAACCTTACTGATTATAGAAGGTAGTAATGTTAAATTGAATTTAAATTTCAGGACTACCCACATTATAATCCAAACCAAGAAGCTCAGCTTCGACAGTTAGCAGAGAACCATGGTAGACAGATGGAATATTTACAGATCAAAAATAGAGATCTGGAAAAACAGAGAGAAGGTAAGGTAGAAACAAATTAAACATTCATTTTACTGTTTTTGTTCGAAAATTTACTTGTGAGTCTTCTGCATCAAAACGTTGTGAGTTAAAGTTTCAATTGAGCTTTAATATTTTAATTTGTTAAAGCAGTAAAATTTTCCTGGGGATATGTTCGTATTCAAGAGATGACTTACTAATAAATAAGAAAATTTCTACAGTTTGGAGATGTTTTATCTTTCTAAATAAAATGCTTTATATAATCAATGAATTGGCAGAAAGTTGGCTAAAAAAAAGCAAATTTTAACGTGATATTTTTATATTGATATTTAACATAGATATAAGGAGACGGTTAGAACAACTTGGTCAACGAGTGCCAGGAAAAAATAATTCTGCAGACTTGCTGGCAGAACTTAGAGCTCAGGAGGAAAGGAATCAGAAAGCTCTAAATGATCTCAGGAGACAGTTATTTGAAATGGGTTCAAAACGTGTTAATGTTATGTGAGTACTTAATAAGAAACACTGTGATTATGCATTAAAAAAAACCCCACAAAATGTGAAGGTCAATGGAAATATCCACCAATAAAATTTGTAATTTATCAGTAATGAACCTAATCAAATGTCTTTTTTGAAGAGTGGGTTTTGTTATTGATGTAGAAAAAAAAATGATATGCAACATGTGTGCTTCAGGGAACTTTTTTGGATATATTTTACAAAACCTGCAATCTATGACTGTGTTTAATGAACATTTTTATGCTTCTAATACATGTAGACAATTTTTGAGTCATTATGTGGGGGATCTTGAAGTGTTTTCTTTTAATAATGACAACAAATTTTAGTGAAGTAATGGTACTTTTCAAGAACTAAAGAGTGATTATATGAGTATTAAAAGGTTCAATGACAGACTGCTGCATCTGTTCTGTTTCCACAGCAAGTTTGAGATTTTAGAAGAAAATATTGAAAGATCAAGAAAATTATTGGAGATATTCCAAGAAAAACTTTATATTGATCCAGAATTTGACTGTTTGGTGTCACTGCATCCTAAAGTTGATCAGTCAATACAACTGAATGAAGATTCCCTAATGAGTGTACACAACTTAGAGAATTTGACCACTAAAAACCAATCAAACATGTCAAAAGATAATATTACAGTTTCTTCTGAAACTGATAAAAGGAGTAGCTGCTCAACTTGCTCTCAACCATCTTCTCCTCACGCCATGTCAGAGGACATACAAAGACATCTATCAGAATTCAAAAATAAACTGAATTATCTGTCTCAGAATCTGCCACACCATCGTAATATGAGACATAGGTTGGTTGTACTGTTTGTTTTGGTTTCCAGTTGTTGAAGATGTTTGTGTTTTAGAACCAGTTGATGTTGACTTGTTTTGTTTAGTTTTTGTTGATGCTGTATTTTGTGTTAATAACTCTCAAGTTGATTGCATAATGACAGTTCATTTCATGTTATGGGAATTGAAAAATTCAATAAATTCGTTAAATTCAGATTTGTATTTTAACATAATTCCTTTCCAACATTGATCCACAGGGGAGAGTGGGGTCTCTTCCAATATTAAGGTATACACAGACATGCCGCTGGTATGGGTCACATTTTTGGAATGTCAGCTATATCCATGGGGTGCAATATTATAGAGGTAATATATCAATGAGTCATACATGTTCATTTTCTGTTAAGATGTCTGTAAAAACTGTGTTCTGATTTTTGTATCTCATAATATGAATGACGAATCCCATGTGGTAACCATCTCATTGAAATAAGATGTCATGGAAGGAAATATATATAAATGGGTAGGAATTTTCGACTCAATCAATATATGAATGGGGGGTGTTTTTCAAACCCCAGCCGGATGTCTGTACCAAAAGTAATAGTTTTAGATCCCCCTGTGCATGGATCATAATGAGTTAACAAAATGTTTTTCCAGTTTTATATACATTGTATATACATTCATTGTGCATTAAGAATTTGACTGACCTCAAGACATATTAAAGTGTTGTGAATTTTTGTAAACCTGAGGTTCAGAGCCTCTTTTTTATGATTACTTTTCTTTTAGTGCTAATGATTAAAAGAAAAGCCAGTTATTCACATTGCATATTTCTACGAGCTTGTTGAATTTTACGACAATTTTGAATTTTCATCTTATTCCAGAGACATACAAGATGTTTTGAATTGGAATGTGACTGGCATTGGTAACTTTTTTAAACATATGATAGTGGAAATTTGTGAAAACTGTCTGTTCACTTTACAGATAGTGTAAAAAGTAAATGTTGTTTATAGAATCTGTTGTGATATTTTTCTTTCAGAGAAGTAGAAAAGCCCATGAATTATCCTCAGCCAATCATACAGCAGTCTCTTCCTCCACCACCCCCTCAAGAAAAGGAGAGGAAATCATATATTTATCCTGTTTATTATGGAAGTTCATTAGTAGCAGAAATCAGGTGATTATCATAGATTTATTCAAAACCTATATATTACCTCCTCCCTAAAGCGGTGACATCTTTTATCTGCTTTAGGATTGGGAACAGGGCTTCCAAAATTATTTTTAGCCAGCCAGACATTTTATATATTATCCCGATTTTAATCCCTTAAGACTAAATAAACAAAAGGCAATTATGTTATTCAGTTGCTGAGTTGGCCATTCCAATGACTGACATTTTTTGAAGAAATTAGAAATTAGGATGCATAATTAAATTTCACACCTGTGCACATGCGCACACATGTACTAGTTCAAACAAAGACATGTCTCTGGTTCAAACAACGTGGTTATGACGATTTTTCATTTTCACCTTTTTAATTTTTTCATCAAATCATATTTGTAAACGTATTTCTGATAATTTAAATCTTTTTGACTAAATTAATTAGATGCAAACCGCTGAAATGTAAGAAAATAACTTTGAATAGACCGATCAATGTCCGGTCACCTGAACAGGTAAATTTCAGCTGTTCGACAACTAATTAGCCTTGATTAAAATGAGAAGGTATTAAAGTCGGGGTTGTTTTTATAGTACTTAATGATCATGTCACTTTTATGACCGGAAATGTGTGGCTGTTAAAGGCAAAAGGTTGGGTCAAAAAGATCGCGAATTATGTTAAAATGACCGTCTCTTAAGAAAGCCTTGAAAACTAAAAAGTAGATGACCGTTTCATGCTTTGCCCAGCCGGACTTTTATCGGACATTATACAAATGTCCGGAATATATGACCGTTTTGGAAGCCTTGATTGGGAAGTCTTATTCATTTATAACAGAAAAATAGACTTAATTTATATATACATGTTGTTTACAACCTCGTCCTGTGGTCTCTGATAGATAGTGTCTCATTGGCAATCATTTCACATATCCTTATTGTCCCCTGCGCGACGCATTGCGTCTGTCTATCCATCCGTCTTGTCTTGTTAGCGCTCTCACGTGTACAATTCTTGCAAGATTTTTATCAAATTTATATCAAAGATTTATATAAGCCATGTCTTGGACAAGTTCGAAAATCAGTGCCGATCAAATACTTTTAAAGGAGTTACACCCCTTGAAAATATCAATTATATTGGAAATTGCATTGTATTTGCCCTCAAGCCTTCATTTCTATAAGATATTTGTAAAAAGTTTCAAAGAACAAAAAAAAAAGTTTATATTTAGCTATTGCCTTTGGATAGATAAAATATGTGCAATGTGGGAGACATTGGCATTCTGTTCTTTTATTTTTATACTGTAACATACTAAATCTTGTTGAGTGAGAAGTCTTTTATTGGATTAAGCTTCATCAGAAGTGTTCTGTAGTACTGAAAAATTTTACAAATAAAATTGAGAGGATACAATATTATAAGGAAATTCTGTCCAAATAAAACCTCATTTACTTTGGCTTGCTTTCATGTCTATGTTTTCACATAGTTATATATAATAAGTTTTACCTTGATAGAACAATACTGAAAAGTGAATGCTTTTTCATCTTAATTCATTTCAAATTAAATCTTGTTTTATCATGACATATAATGAAATGTTTGCTTAACTACAGTATAATGGCCATCATTTTCTTTGTACGAATTGTGGATATCAAACAATAGAGCACAAAAACTGTATTTAGGATCGTCTGAAAAATAAATGTTGACAGTTGATTGTTAATTACTAGTACCTGTTGATGTAAAATATGATTTATGTTCTTATAGGGAATTGATTTTAATTTTAAGGAATTGTAAGCATGAAAGGATGTTATTGAAATATGTATAATAGATTTAAAAGTGAGTATAAGAAAAGACTTATGTAGGATTAATTGGCTCTTTTCTTACTATTGTTATGTTGATAAATGATTTCTATTGTAGCAGTTTTGTTATACATTGAACAGGCTTTCATCTCTTTTCAGAGACAGAACCAAGGGGTTAAGTAATCGACGGAATGTTTTGAAAAACAACTTATATTTTAGATCGTGTCTTTCTATTTTACGAGATATATACCTCATTATTCAGTAGCATTTTTAATTTGAGGTTTTTGATATAATTATACAAATTCAGAATAGAAATGGTATATTCTGTTAGGGGAATTTTATAGTTCCTATTCACAATTGTGAATACAAAATTATACTAGAGTAAGGCTGCTTTTATAAAAAATAATAATTGTAGACTGTTATCATTGTCGATAAATAATAAAATCTTTTGAAGCTGTTTTCGCCATCATTTCATGTTCTGTGACCAATATAATTATTTTCTATACTTCTACTTTTCCTTCGAATAAGAGTCAATGGTGTATTATATATCAAATAAAAGACAGTAAAATGTGTTCTCCTTGACACAGTTGTACTAACTGTTTTTATTTCTTTACAGTGCCATGAGACAAGCTTACCTTCAGAATGGAGGGAATGAGAGGGATGTATTAGATCAGTTGTCACAGATGCAGGCTGAGGCCCAGAGAATCGAGGACGAGATGAAGAACACAAACTATGATAACAGACATAGAGGTAATCCACAGATTACCAGGATTTATTATACAGAAGGTTTATCATAATAAAAATGAATATTAGTACATTTAGAAAAAAAATTAAAAGTATCAATTTGTACTAATATGACATTCCTTCGTTTGAAATGTCTGTTTGTTTGGATCCTTGTATTTTGCATCTGATTCAGGGATTAAAAATTTACCTTCCTGCTTGTTAAAGATATAAAGCTAGGATGCAAGGGCTTGAATCCAGGACTTTAGACATTTAACAAAATATATAATTCAATTAATAGTTTTTGGACAAATTAAGAATTATTTTAAATGGCTTTCTAAATCATTTTTTTTTTTTCTTTAAGAATATATTGATTTCCTTAGCCATTTTGATGTTCAAAAACTATTTTTTTCAGAGAAGAAACCAGATTTATCTGGGAAGATGCAGATGATAGAGATGGAGAACGACAGACTACATAAAGAACTTATGTTATTACAAGAACAGAACTTTTTAAATCAAAATAAAAGGAAATCAGACAGAGAAGGTAAATATGAAGGTCAATCTTATCGCAAAGGTCAAGGGCATTCTTATCACAAACATTTAGATCACTTGCATGGTGAAAAATCTGAGCACATATCTTCAGTTAAAGCAAAATGGCAAGAACTGCAGTTCACTAAAAAAGAATTTGAACCAGAGACAAAGGATTATGGGAAAATTGTAAATGACACTTCAAAAGTGGAAAATTTAGAGTATGGCAACCCAAGAAAAAATATTTCTGAAAAACCAATAGTTCCTCCATTGGATTTAAGTTCAATAACAGGACAGAAGTCCAAAACAATTGTGTTGCCACCGATTCAGAAACTGGATGACAATAACTTTGCAGCTGGCTCTGATTACACATTTATAACTGAAAAGAAGAATATATCTAGAAATAGGCCAAAGCATGTCTACGGCAACCAAAGACATCATTATAGAAATGTTTTACCGGGTAGACCATTGCCAAAGATTAATGAATTACGAGATTTTCCAGCCAAAACACATAATATAGGAAGAACTCAATCTTTATATGTTCCAAGAAAAAAGAGTGGCTCTCATAAAGGTTCCATACGGAGTGAGATTGTTGGTGGCAATGTTGATTCATACAGGTATCCCATGAAGCATCTGATGAGGAAAGGAAGTTTTGCTGGAACTGATTTGGTTGGTGTTGTCCGAGCTTCCAAACCTGGAGATGGACATTCGAAGGTCACGTTTGATTATTATGATCCCAAAACTAAGAATGATATGAAATATGAGACTGTGACAATTAAACAAAGGGAAGAACTAAATCCTGACAATAATCATGTCGTTCATACAACAACTTACAAGGAGGAGAAATTAAACGGACATGTTTCATGAGTTGTAATGACTTAGACATTAAAGGGATGCTGCCATATATTTTGCATGTATTAATAATTGTCACATACTTAATGTCATTCATTATATTGGTATAGGCTCATCATGAATAAAAATACTCCATGAAATACATCAAAACTTGTCTTACCTAAACTCAAACTTTCATCAAAGGAAACTTGTATCAATATGTAATGAATATCCATTTGAGATTTAAAACTTGTAAACTAAGCAATGGTCTAGTTCAACAGAATATTTAGGTCTTAAGTAGTTTGATTTTCACTATTTTATTGCTTTAATTACAGAGAGGGACAATAATTATCAAAAAAATCAATGAAACAACAGAAATTCTAGTTGTACTATATTCTAATAATAATCTTAATTTGGGGAAACAAGTTCAACAGAAAATTGTCAGAATTTCAAGTAATTTAACCTCATTACTTCAGCTGAAGATTATGGACCATGGTGCTAATGTTGAAATAACACAATATCCAAACTGTTATCCTTCGTTATCAAGCAGTCAATGAATCATCTTCAGTCTTTAAGTGTCAAGCCATGTGAATCATATATTTTACTAAACAATAGATTTGTTGTCTCAGTACTCAAGCAATCAATGTATTTGACTTTAAATGAAGTTGACAGAATTAAGTTAAATAATTAAAAAAAATAATACAACATGGACCATACTTTGTATGTGTGATGATGGTTATGGATGACTGTTAAATGTCCAGTAGTATTCTGTATGGCTCTGTCTTCTTTCTTAAGAATTAGTATTGCTAATCATTTAGAAAAGACATCAGTGCCCATTTTCACAGTACTCCCAGTAGTTGGCTGTTTAAAAGATAGAAATAAGTTGTACTTATGGGTTCTTAGTGGTCATTTTAAAAAAGAGAAAATAATAAAACATGCTGAATAAAGTGGTAGCAATGATAAATTTGTTTTTATACCCCACGCAACGAGTTGCGGAGGGTATAATGTTTTTGACCCGTCCGTCCGTCTGTCCGTCCGTCAGTCCGTCAGTCCTGTTTCTTGTCATCGCAACTCCTCTCAAACCACACAACAGAATTTCACGAAACCTTTTTAGATAATAAGGACATACTATGTAGTTGTGCATATCGACAGGAAATTATGATTCAATTTTTTTTCCTGGAGTTACGCCCCTTTGAACTTATTTGCCCAATATACTACTGCAACAGTTTGTCATCGCAACTCCTCTCAAACCACACAACAGAATTTTATGAAACCTTTTCAGATAATAAGGACATATTACGTAGATGTGCATATCGACAGGAAATTACGATCCAATTTTTTTTCCAGGAGTTACGCCCCTTTGAATTTATTTGCCCAATATACTACTGCAACCTTTTGTCATCACAACTCCTCTCAAACCACACAACAGAATTTCACGAAACCTTTTTAGATAATAAGGACATACTATGTAGTTGTGCATATTGACAGGAAATTATGATTCAATTCTTTTTCTAGGAGTTACGCCTCTTTGAACTTATTTACTTAATGTACTACTGCAACAGTTTGTCATCGCAACTCCTCTCAAACCACACAACAGAATTTCACGAAACCTTTTTAGATAATAAGGACATACTATGTAGTTGTGCATATTGACAGGAAATTATGATTCAATTCTTTTTCTAGGAGATACGCCTCTTTGAACTTATTTACTTTAATGTACTACTGCAACAGTTTGTCATCGCAACTCCTCTCAAACCACACAACAGAATTTCATGAAACCTTTTCAGATAATAAGGACATACTACGTAGATGTGCATATCGACAGGAAATTACGATTCAATTTTTTTTCCAGGAGTTATGCCCCTTTGAACTTATTTGCCCAATATACTACTGCAACCTTTTGTCATCGCAACTCCTCTCAAACCACACAACAGAATTTCATGAAACCTTTTCAGATAATAAGGACAGACTACGTAGATGTGCATATTGACAGGAAATTATGATTCAATTTTTTTTTTTTGATACAATTTTTTTTTCTTACACTTATTTTATTTCTCCAATGACATTGTGGGGACGTGGGGTATGTGAGCGCGCTCACTAAGGTTCTTTCATATTTCATGGAAATCATTTTATTGGTAGGGGAAAATGGAATGATTTGAATAAACCTTCCATTACATTTGGCAAGTAACTGACAAAACCAATCACATATCCTTAGGTCAAGTGACATTGTCAAGTTTGTAAAATATTCAGAGCGAGTCTTGATCCCCTACACGTAGTACAGATAAGATTGCTCAGCCACTGAGTCTCTATAATAAGTAAGACTGTGAGAGGCCTTTAATATGAAAAAAAAAAGCTGAAAACCAATGTAAATTAAAATGAACGATTGAATTTGAAATAGATTTAAAATATAGGACTGAAGTAAGAATGATTTCAAAGGAAATCAAACTTGTACCCAGATTCAGTTGGTCTTTACCTGGCTTTTTTAAAATTAAATCAAATTAATCAATGAAAGATTGGTTTTTGAAGAAGAAATTTAAAGTTTCCATTGAATGAAGTTCCACTGAGAACAATATCTATTGTATTTATTCAATGGGACAGTCCACTTTGCATAAAAATAAATAGCCAGGTAAAGACAAACTGATTCTCTGGAAAGGTATTCTTTTCTTTGCAATAAGTGATCCTTGAATTTTATATTAATGACTATTAATTTGTTATTCTTCATTCTAAAAGCTAATACATGTATCATTTATAAAGTACTTGTGGTGCTATCTTTTATAAGTTTCAAATTTTATTCTTTTTTAAAGCAATTTTGCATTTATTCCAATCAATTCTTTCATAAAATTGGTAGAAACTTTATGTATTGTCATATTTAGACTTGTATCATTCTTGTTTAAACTTTTTATTTATCGACACATTTTGATTGCTTACATCATGTACATTTAGTAGTGCATTTAATTTATTTATTTTTATATTATTCTTTAATGAAATAAAAGAATGGGAAAAAAGTTGCACTTAGTTATTCTTTGCCACAAAGATATCATATTCTTCATATGCTTCTCATGGGAAAAAAATTTTAAGACTTTAATTTTTATTGACCGTCAGAGATAATTTTGGAAAACTAAGAATAACTTCACTCCGCTTTTGTGTCAATTTCAATTTTTTGTTGGTTAAACATATATATATCTGATTTCTGGAAGCATGTCTTTTAAACATGAATTTATTTAAAATATTGGCTATGGAAATTGTGTATGATTTAAAATAGAAAAAAGGATAAAAGTCAGGAGATATGTTATAATTAGAATCAAGAGGTAATAACACACTAGGGTCAAATCGACAAGAAAGGGAAATATCAAAGGTCACTAGGTCAGCACTTTATTTTGCACTGAGTCCTTTATATTTTATTTCATTGCTGGTACTACTTGGAGACTCAATTCTTACATAGAAATGAGAACAGGTCATATTCAAATGGTTGCTTTGCTAGGAAAAAACCAATAAAAAGGATGTGAAAAACATGTTATCTTAACAACAGGTATCTTAACACAAGAACAAGATTACTTCAGTTAGGAAATGCAGTATGAATATTTGATACTGGAAGACTGGAAGACACCAATACATTGTAACTGCAATTGAAAGAACCATTATTTCACAGAACAAATATTTATGATAAATAATGACTATAATTTAAAGATCAAATATGTATACTTGACTTGACATATAAATAGTCAGAATTTTCTTTATTTACATTCAAAAGATTTCATTTTCACACAAATTTCAATTGACCTATTATTATACAGAGTACAAAAAATTGAAAACATATACAAAAGTACAAAATATTGAATTGAACCATAATTAAGTTTCAAAAAGATTTTAATAACATAGCATACAGAACTTCTATTCAGAAAACATATCAGATTTATTTCTAACAAGAAATGGTGAATCAATGTATGCATCATTAGAACTTAATCTTTTCATATTCAAATGCTAAAGATCAACACAAAATAAAACCACCAAACATATCACATGATTGATGAGAATAGACTTCAAATTGAAAATTTCAACTTTGATTCAAACTATCATGATGATCATGTTAGAGCATGAAATATAAAATATGTTATGAAGTTTGGTATATATATATTGTCATGCATGATCAGATGTCACCTTATTCAAGGTGCATTTTACAGGTATAGAAACTGAATGTTTTCTCCATACAAAGAGAGATAAATTGTTTTTCTGATGTCTTTTAAATCCTAAAATAATTGAATTTCATTTTGGCGATTTGTACTATAACTCTCAACAACATCTTGGGTGGTGAGTTTTACCATGTGATTCTTTTATACTGTTGTAATCTCTGATAGGATTATGATAAAACATAAGGATATATTGCTCCTTTCCTGTATCTTTAAGGTAGATAGGGTGTCTTCCTCCATCTTGCATTTTGTAATACATGAAAACAATCGGTCTAGATCTTTAATAGAATGTGCAAATTTTTAGAGTAGTAGGTAATTCATGTGTAAGAATTTTCATTTCAATATAGAAAATGACATGTTTTATCATATTTATGGTTGTATTTTACAAAAAACAGAAAACTTTTGTTTTGATTCAATTTTTTCCAACTTTGCCACATAAGGGGAGGCAACTCAAATGTAAGGGCAGATAATTCAGATAAGGGTACTTTTACAATAGAATGTGTTAGGAATTTACCTATTTTATTATGTAGCAAGAAAACGGGTCCGGTGACCCCATTTTTTCTTTTTCTTATCTGAAAGCATACTATTAAAGCTATCTTCTCATATTTTATCTCAAAATTCTATGGCGTAGTTTTCGTTTTATGGCAGAAAATAGGGTTTTCCATGCATAATCTATACAAAATCTGTTAATTTTGAACAACCTGTAGCGTGAAAATAAGCCCCGTGACCCATTCTTTTTATCATTTTTTTTTAAAAAGCTTGATATAAACTACATTTTGGCAAATTATTAAAAAATTCTATGGATTATAATTTAGACACCCCATCTACCTTAAGGGAACAAGGTCTGGCTAACAAGATTAAACATTACATAAATAAGACATAACTGAGAGTGTTAAAAAAGCAGATTGTTACCCTGAGAAAACTTTTTCAACTTACAGTTAAGAATGAACAAGTTTTATGTGTTAGGTTTTATACAAATACCAGAGTGTATTTCCTATTAGTGGGAGATGGTAACTAAATCTACATATTATATACATACAACTGACCTCTAGATGTCTTTTGGTTAATTCTGTTTTTGAGTTGCTGTCTTATTGATCAGTACCCCACATAGCCCTTTATTCATGTGTATTCTATTCTTGAAATGTATTGTTTCCCTTGTAGACTTGAAATTATTTTGATGAAAAATGAGTAGTTTCCTTTTATTTTTTGCTTCAGATGAGTTAGAGAGAGAACTTCAGAGATTAAGAGAAGAACAATTAAGGAAGATGTTAGAATTACAGAATGAAATAGCTTTACTGAAACAGAGGGCTCTTTGGGAAAGAAGACCAGATCCCCCACAAGCCCCACCCCCACAACCGGTAGGTTAGATAACAGGAATATATCAAGACTTTTTTAATTTTGATCTGTATAAGTTTTCTATTTAAGTTTAAATTTGTTTTACACTTGTTTTAAGTGTTATTTTCTTTTTTCGTAAAAAAAACTTTTGTTCTCAGAGTATGACAGTTTCATTCTATGTTAAATAAACTTTCATTTGATATTTCTAAAACATGATAAACAGTTTATCAAGAAAGGTTGATTTTTACCAACTCCTGATTTGGCCAAAATCATTTTATATCTTACATTTGACAGCATGTTTGTACACATATATATAGATTAGTTGTTGTATTATGGTTGTATGGTAGGGATTGTTTTTCTGGGAGCACTTTTTGGTAGTTGTCTGTTCACTTGATGTTGTATTGCACTTTGCTGTCAAAATGTTATTTCATTATTTGTTTACATCAGTCTTATCATTTCAGAATTTTAACTGTGGTATCTCTGTAATCAGCATGCATTAGAATTCAAATTAACCAAATGCTAGGAAACAAACTTCAACAATACTGAACAGAGGTATTGCATACAATGTGTTTGAAGCTTTTATATAAATTTATAAGAATTTAATGTTTTGATGAACCTTACCAGAATATGTTGCTAAGTATTTTGACTGTTCCAATTTTCAAAGTAATGTTGAATATGTTAATGCATGCTGTACATTGCTTTTTCCATGGTAAAGATTTTGAAATGCTTTCAGTTTTCAAAATTGTCAGATTGCCAGAAAAGTGTTCCCAGAGGAATGGTCACTATTGCCATTCACATATTTTGGTAAAAATCGACTAACAGTTAAATTGTTAATTAAAACAGAAAAATGCAGAAATGCCTTGGCTGTTACAGAGACCCTATGTTGATGTGGAACCAATGCAACCATATGATCAATAGTAAGTACTTATTGTTACTATGGTGATGGCCATCTGTGTTTCAAAAGTGATAGTTCATATAGGAATTATATATAGAATTGTATATAGATGGATCATAATCTAATTTTGTGCTATTGTTCCATTCTGTATTGAAAGCAATCTGAGTCACTTTTTTGTGATATTAGCCAATTAATTAAAGAAAACAATTGTTAGACAAAATATGAAGTAGAAAAAACCAAATGTTCAAGGGCAAAATTCTAGACCTTAGGAGCCTACCTACATATAACTACTGCTTGTCAGGTATATATGTTTGACTGTGACATAGTTTTCCCCTACTTTCACACTTTTATAATATCATGCTGTCAACTGTGTCAATTGATTCCTTGACTTCAACTAGAATTACATAGCAGGATTCCAATAACAATGGATCTTTAATTTTCTTCCAAGTATTTTCAAATAGTTCCATGGGATTGAGATCTTCCCTAAAATCATAACACCACATTTATACATTCTTTTATTAAATCTATTCAAATAGCACCATGGTACCATGCTACCATGGTGCTATAAGACTCTGGGGAGGACACTAATCATGACAAAAAGTAAAATACAATACAGTAAACTGTGACCCTGTCATATCATTCTATTATATATTGGTACTAGCAAACAGAAGTATGCTATGTTCAAAGATACTTGATGTGCTACTTTTGTAATAATTTTAAGCACAAATTGAAAGGACATTAGCATTATAAATGTAGAACTACTATTATTCCCAAACTCTAAAAGTGGTGGCTATATTGTATTCACCTTGTCCATCCGTCCGTCTGTTTTCTGTCTGTGTTTAGTCCAACAAATATTTTTGTCACCCTTTTCTCAGGAACCAGTAAACAGAAATGCTTTAGATTTGATCAGCAGCTTGACAGTGATGAGTTGTAAGGTGTGAGCACTTTTCAGATCTGACTAAATCCTACTTCCTGTTTTCAGATTTAGAATTACAGTATGTTGAATGAACTTGCAATTTTTTGTCACAGATTTCTTCAGTGCTACTGAACAAAATGAATTTATTCTTATCAGCAGCTTGACCATTATTAGTTTTAACATGTGAGTGCTTTTTGGATCTGTGTGACACCCATTTTTTTTGAATTTTTCAACATGTTTTATGAAAACAGATATTTTGGTCACACTTTTCTAAACAATTATTAAACAGAATGACTTCATATTTGGTCAGCAGTAGCAGTTGTAACATACGAGCACTTTTTATTATACCCCCGCTTTAAAAAAAGTGGTTATACCCCCGCTTTAAAAAAGTCGGGGTATACTGTTTTACCTCTGTCTGTCCATCCATCCATCCGTCAGTCCATCCATCCGTCCATCCGTCAGTCTGTTCATCTGTCCCATGAATATTTTTCGTCTCATCTTTCTCAGGAACCATCATAATGATTTCTGAAATTTGGTTTCAGGGTTTATATAAGTCAGCTATACTGTGTGATGCGTTTTCAGATTCATCACTCAACAACTTCCTGTTTACCGAACACTTACATTGGGAGGCGGGGGTATCATCATTGAGCAGTAGCTCTCAGTTTCACTTGTTGGATCTGTCAGTCACCTACTTGACCACCTGTTTTCTTATTCTAAAAGTGGGGGAATGCTTAGCATGACAATCAATGCAATCTTGTTTGTTATTATGATTAACAACACTTCTTCGTGATGTAAAAAGGGTTGTTATGAATTGGTCATTTTTATAAGGGTTGTCATTTATGTATTTAATAAGATATGAAATAGAGAGTATTTTGATTTAGGAATACCAAAGATTCTCAGATATTATTTTAGTTTAGATAATTAATTATTTTAGACTAGAACCAAATCCATAGTTACAATGAAAAAGAGTTCAAAGAAAAAAAATTATTAAATGAACGAAAAAATAAAAATAAAAGAAAAACATCTAACAATATCTTAGGATATTATTGTTGTTTGTAAGTTAATTTTCAAGATTTTAGGTTTTCTAAAATGCTAGTAATTAACTGTAAACTGAATTCTACTTTCCACCAGTGTTATATGGAATGCTGGTATACCTAGAACTGTAATTACTTGTCCAAGGTCATTACGTGCATCATTTAAAGTTGTGTAAGGTAAAATGGAGGTTTGTTGAAGCTTAACTATGGCTGCTATACACACCCTTATTATATATCTATAGAAACTGATAATCAAATTGTATTAATTTTTTACCAGTATTTATTGTTTTGCTAGATTTTTATCACATTTTTATTTGGTAGATATCCATGTGCAAAAGAATAAGAAGATGAAATTTTTCTTTATTTACAAATCACTACGATGAATTTAGCCTTTCTAAGATTGTATTATCTTTCACAATGTTAACTTTATTTCGGCTCTTTTTAGTCCTAATAGGTATGTTCCAACAGGTCATCACACATGGGTATCTACCCAATACGGAAAGATGTCTAGGCAAGTCCCACCCACTGCTCGCCCTGAACGTGATTATAATGCTGATATTGATGAACCTGATTAAATTTTATTAAAGTTCGTAAGTTGATGAAGCTACCTCTGTTATTACTCACCAGGCACTGCTTTTAAATTAACATCTGAAATATGTATTGTATCTATTCCCAGTAGTTTATGTTTAGATGGATAAAAGTGTTGTTTTGTTTTGAATTCATTTTCTTTTAAGGACATTTTTTGTCTCTACACATATGATTAAAATCAGAAGAAAAGTTTAAGGTTAGTAAATTTAAGGTGATCTTTGAAGGAACTAAGAGATTTAAAAAGCAGAAATTAGTCCCCTGTATCTAATTAAATTAAAGTTTACTATTAGTTTCAGACTTAGATGGTTTTGAAAGTTTTGAGGTTAGTTTGCATGCAATGTATTTTGGTCTTCAATTAACTTACTGATGAAGCACACTTTAAAATTTGAGTTGGCTTTTGTGATGGTTTATGGGTATGACACGAATAATTATATTTTACTTGGAATCTGAATTTTTGATTTGCAAATATTGGGATGATTATTCTCTTGTAAATTTTAGCACAGACCGGTTTAATCGACAGAATTTGTCCTCGGCATTCCACACATGGGTTTCTACACAGAGTAGGAAAGGTTACCCTGATCCTAAAAAAAATGATGAAGAAAATGAAAATCAAGAAACAACTCCTAAAATAGTGGAACTGTAGAACCAGGTTTAAAACCCTAGACATTTTTATCTACACAAAACCTCTAGTAATCACATGTAGCTTTCAAAATTTACTGAAAAATCTGATAAGATTTATTTTTACTATTTATATACTTTTTAATTCCCCCCTGCTTTATATACTTATTATACTAATACACAAGCATGACATAGCACTATTGCTTAATATAGTGTGATTTTTTTCAAACAGTTAATAGAAATTTTTGGTCAAATTCTTTTGCATATTCTTTCTTAAGTTTCTACAAAATGAAATTTAATGAAGTTCCTTATCAAAATAAAATTATAATATTTGATACTTAAATCTTTGATTTAAAATTAATGTGACATTTGTATAAACAAGTAATGAAGTTAAAGTTAAAAATGTAATAAAGTACTTGTAAACAAAATTGAAAACATGACATTTAACAAAATAAATTTCAATTTTTTTTAAACTTCATTGTATTTGTCAGAAATTTAATTCAGATTTTCCTCTTTTGAATAGGGCCAAAATGTGTGTAGTACTAACAGAGCCTTCAACAAATCTCCATATCAAGCCAGTGACTGCATTGCAATAACTTTGTACTTGATGAATGCATTGCAATGGTTGAAGTGGACATCTATAGTTTTCTTTTATAGTGTGTTTAGATGTTGTACTTTATTACATGGGCTGTATGTTTGTGAACTTTAAATGTGTGTCTTGCCAATACATATGGAAAACTCACTTAAGAATTATTTTTTGGTTTTTGTTTTATAAGGCTGTAAAAGTGTTGACTGAAGTATTTCGTATAAATATGAATATTTACTATGTCAGCATCTGATAAAAACTAAGAGTAAACATTTTTTGTATGAACATTTTCGAAGTTGGTTAATTTTGTTTGTCGTACTTAAGGCCCAAAAGGCTGGGTGTTCTATTAATTGTTTTTATCTACACTGTATTTGTTAAAAAAATACATGTAACTATAACGAATAATTTGCTTAGTTAGTTATAAAAAATATTTGCACAGTCAACACTTTAACAACCCTAAAAAACTACAAAAAGAAGCATGCAATATAATTCTTATAGCAACATTTTAATGCTAATACCTGAAAATTGCAAGTCAAATCAAGCTATTTATTCATTTTGTTATGAATATTCCTGTGCTCTGTTATAAAGTTGTCACATGATTGTTGTCTTCCAATTAGAATATTTCTTTTGCAATTCAGATGAATGCATTTGCAGAGGAATTTCAATTTTTTTTAATAGTTTTTGTTGGGAATTATAGAATAGCAATTTATTAAAGAAGACTAGAAAAACTTCATTACACATTTTGTTATACCCTCAAAAAAGGTGAATTGAAGATTTCCCATTCTGTAATTTATGTGTGGTTGCCAACCATGAATACGTCGAAAAGAAATGGTCTACATAAATGGTGTCTGATACTGTTTTTGATATAAATAAAAAATCCTGTAATAGATCTGAAATGCCAGAAGTAGATTAGTTATGAAGTATTAATTTTACTTTTGTCACAAAACTGGTCTTGCAACCAAACCTAACAGCAGTTTACCCCTTTAAGGAAATATTTGTCAGAAGAATACCGGGTAATTCAAAATTGAGTCAAGTATACCAAAAAAATAAACAAGCTTTTATGAATACATCACTATACACTTAATCTTTAAACTTGAAGAATATGGCCTTGGACAAAAGTATTTCATCAAAGTCTACATTCCTTTTGCAATGTATATAAAAAAAATATGTACTCTGCAGATAACCAAAAATTTTATTATCTTAGTCTCACTTCTCATTAGACTTCCATGAAGTTTAGCCTGAATGCATCTTTAAATGAACTTTTCTGATTATTTTGAAAT